ATATGGGTATTTGCGTGCATGTGCGTGCATGCATGCGTGTGTGTGTGTGTGTGTGTGTGTGTGTGTGTGTGTGTGTGTGTAGATGAGAGAACAACTTGAGGAAGTTAGTTCTTGCCTTCAACCATGTATGTCCTGGGGCTAGAACTCAGGTTGACAATCTTGACAGCAAGTGCTTGTACCCTCTGAGCCATTCTGCTGGCTCCAAATTTCCCTTTTAACCTCCAGGTTTTAAAAATGAGAGCTACCTGAAGACAAGCCCCCACTGGTTATTTACAAGCTGGGAAACAACCCCTGGCAGCTATGATTACCTAGAAGTTCCCTGCGGGTCCTGCTTGCTATTTCTTTAATTTCCATGCGAGACAGGGACAAGGAATGGGTGACAGGAATGGCAGCAATGCCAAGGCCGATGGAGGTGGGCGGGGTGATGACCTTGGAGACTAAGGGTGATTTCAGAGGCCGCTCGATGCTTCTGCCCACAAGGTTTCTAAGTGGAATCCTGTACAGATTTTTAGACTGAATTTCACCTGAAACACAATTTGGAAAAGACCAGAACTTTAGGTTCATGTTATTTACAACAGAACAATTTCTTTCTTTAAAAGTTTTAAACTACATTATCAGGCGTGTGTCCATGTGTCCATGTGTGGAGGTCAGGGAACAACTTGTAGGGCTCAGTTCTGTCCTTCCAGCAGCGGGCACAGGGGTCAAACTCCGAGCAGCAGGCCTGACGGCAATGCTGCCTTTACCCACTGAGCCATCCTGCTGGCCTGGAAATACTTTCTTGTTCTTCAATATAATTATGTAACATAATTAGCATGAAGCGAGGCTTTCGGTCACGCGCGAGGCTTTCGGTCACGTGCTGATGATACCTAAGGGCTCTGTGTTTCCCAAGGGCTTTCTTTCTTTTGAATGAATTTGATAGAGTGCAGTTGCTTCTTCCAGCACAGGAGCAGATAAGGGGAGCAAGGAGCCGCCCGTCTGGGGCGCTCCTCTTAACAACGGGTGATAAAGATGACCAACGCAGCCAGCAGCTAGGAGAAATGCTGTCCTTGGCCCTGCAGGAGCTCGGCAAAGGCCTCTGGGAGCAAAGTGAGAGTCTCTGGGCTGCAGATTTAGCTGTGAAACTCACTACACTGCCAACCCCCAGAGGAGATGCTGCTGCTAGCTGGATGTGCTCTGGCGTATTTCCCTTTGCCCCATGGAAATTTACATAATGGGATTTCCCCTAATTTGTTTGTTTGTTTGTTTGGTGTGTGTATGTGTACATATGTCTATGGAGGCCAGAGGTCTAAATCAGGTAAGTGTCTTCAACTTACTTTTTGGAACGAGGCTTCGCCCCAAACCTGGAACTTGCTAGACTAGCTAATCAGCACACCCCAGAGATCCCCCTGACCCAGCTTATGGGCTTATGAGTATGTACTACCGTGCCTGACTTCTCATGTTGGTGCTTGAGATCAAAAGTCAGGTCTTTACTTTACTGAATGAGCCATCTATCCAGTCCCATTTGTCTTACTTTTATTTTATTTTTTTAAATTTTAATTAATAATAATAATAGTTATTATTATTATTACCTTGAGACAGAGTTTCTCTGTGTAGCCCTGACTGTCCTGAAACTCAATATAGAGACCAAGCTGGCCTTGAACTCAAAGAGATTCACCTGCCTCTGCCTCTTGAGTACTAGGATTAAAGGCATGCACCACCATGTCTGGCTTTTATTATTATCTTAATATAAGGTTTCTTAAGAATTTTACCAATTCAAAGAGCAAAGTCTACTTATTGGTTTGTTTGTTTTTGAGACAGGTTGGGACATCTTCTAGTCCAGGTTGGTCCTGAATGTGGGCTCCTCTGTCTCACTCAGCCTCACAAGGGTTGGGCGTGCAGCCAAGAGAGTTCTTTGTCACTGGCTTTAAATAGTGACAACTTTGACAACTACTTCTCCTCCTCTCTGGGTCTTCTTTGTCGTGGATGTTTGATACTGCTGTGACACTCCAAGACTGTCAACAAAGCTAACCTTGAATCAGAGAGTGCAGCCAACAATTAACTGACTGGAATTAGCCATAGAGATTTTGGAGGACCCAGGAAGCGAGAACATAGAGAGGCACAGGAAAGAGCAGGGAAGGCTTACAAAGATCCATGGGCCTTTTCTGTCTGGGAAGCATGCAGAGGGTCAGCTGGTTGTTCCTTTGCTGCTTTCTTGATCTATCAGGCTCCTACCCCACTGCCTGACGCCAGAGATCTTATTAACAATAGAACAATTTAGACAAAGGCTTCACTTCTTCATTTCTGATGTTTTTGAGGCACTGGATCTCCACATGGCCCTGGCTGTCCTGAAACTTGCTATGGAGATCCGCCTGCCTCTGGGGTTAAAGGCGTGTGGCATTGTGCCCAACCTCAACAGTAACTTCTTCAGCAGTGATCATGCCCAGCTCTGACAGTAAGCCAAAGAAACCATGAGCTAGAGTATCTATTAATAAGGCAGTAGGAGTTGGACTTCACCTTCCCCCGGGGAAGAAGGAAACAGCAGCGTGTCCCGGGCCGGAGGGGTCTGAGGAGACGTGTGGGCACTGGCGCCCTTGGAGCTGCCTGCAGATGAGCCCTCGTGCACAGCGGCGGCTGCTGTGAAGTATATGTCTGACTGCAAAGAAAGGAGAAACATTACCAGCTGCCTGGTCTTCCAGGCTCTGCTCCACTGACCTTCTGCACCACTGCCAAAACTGAATGGTTCCCAGGCTTGGCAGTGACCTCTGACCTCTTACCTCTTGCACTGCATTCAGTGCAGAACTGGGTCTCATCCAGCTAGACCTCTCAAAAGGATTTACTTCCCTTCTCCCTGCACTGGCCTACACTAGAAATGAGTCACATGCCACACATCTGTAAATCCAACACAACACACACACTCCTCTCAGGAGTCTCAGAACTGGGATGGACCCTGGGAATTTGGTCAGGCCCATTCTGCAGGGGGAAAATATGGATGTTTGCCTCACATGCCCACATGTGCTGACATTGGCAACAGCAGCAGTGGGACATTGCATGTGTTGCTGAGAGCCAACTTTCAGGAATTTTGCAAGCCAGATCTTAAATGTGGCCATCATTAAACATTAAAAGGTATAAGTTTAGCTTTTTGTGTGTGATATTTATCCTCGTGTATGGCACATCTGTGCCCGACGGAGGTCAAAGGAGGAGGTGTCCTGCTTTATCACTTGTCTATACCTTCTTACTTAAGGCAGGGTCTCTCACTGAACCCGGAGCTAGGCTGGTGGCCAACCAGCCCCAGCAACCCTCCTGTCTCTGTCCCTCACAGCACTGGGCCTCCAGGCATGCATGTGAACACACCTGGAATTTTACATGGGTTGTAGAGATTTGAACTCAGGTCCTCATCTTGTTCTGTAAGCACTTTTAACTGCTGAACTATCTCTCCAGGCCAAACGGTACAAACTTAAAAATGTTAGAGGCAAAGATTCTCAACAACATTCCCAATTATTTGACTCCATTTACCATTACTTCAGAGCCCCTGCTGGGCTCCTCCTAACTCTTGCATCAGCCACATCTTTGTGGATTCTCTGTACCACAGACATTGGTGAGTGCTCCCAGTGAGAGCCTGGATACAGTGTGTGGAGTCTAGGGCTGCAGCTGGAGTAAGTTCTGGTTTAAGAGGTATGATCTGTTTCTGGTGAGAAGTATCTAAAAACTTTAACTGTGTGTGTGTGGTGTGTGCGCATGTACGTGCGCCTGAGTCTACATCTATGGCCACGTACATACAGGAGCTTAGGGAGGTCAGAAGGACTGAATGCCCTGGAACAGATACTCTGAGCCACCACTCAGATGCTTAGATGCTGAAACTGAACTGGACCTGGGTCCTCTGCAAGATCATTAAGGGAGCTTAGCCCATGAGCTATCTCTCCAGCCCAGAAAAACAGTGTAACACTCTGATACATATTAGACATTTTTTTTTATTTTTGAGTCAAAGTCTTAGTTTGTATCCCAGGCTATCCTGGAACTCCCTTGTAGTTCAGACTGGCCTGGAATTCATAGCAATCCTACTGATGGCCTTACCAGTGCTGAGCTTACAGATGTGAGCCAAACGCTCAGCTACATGAGCGATTTCTTGACATAACCCACCGGAACAATAATGAGTGGACTGAGGTAGGACTCCAGCGTAGGTGGAGCTGAACCTGTAGTCTGGGTATGATACGGGTCTCAGCAAACATTAAAAAGCGTATTTGTGAGAACCCTCATGAGCACTTAGTTCTCACTCCGCTCTCTCCACAAGGCAGGGAGCATTTGTGGCGGTGGCTCTGTCCTTCTTGACATGCTGTAAGGACAGACGGAGGCTGTCAGGTCAGCACAGCAGGTGCTCCACACGCCGAGCCATCGCCCCAGCCTCAGGGGAGCATCTGGAAGCGCGAGGAGGGCAGACATGAAAACGTTTCCACCTCCCTCCTGGCGCTCTGACCCAGGACAGCTGTCCCGGTGTGATAATCAGCAGTTCCTGCTCACTCGACTCCTCGGGGTGCGAAGGCTGCGGCACGGCTTTCCACTCACCCTGGAGGCCACGAGCTGCAGCTGAGGCACAACGGCCGTGTGAACCAGGTTCCCGTTCACCACCAGGCGGATCTCCATGGAGTCGGGGGTGAAGGCCAGCAGGTACGGGAAGGCGCAGACTGCAAGGGAACAGACGGGCTGTTGGCTAGGAGGCTGCAACAGCTCAGGCGTCGTTACCACGCTAGGAACGTCCACCCTCTCTATTCTTGTCTGCTTCACACGGCTAGGCCGGCCTCAGGTGTACAGGCCAGCCAGTTGTCACGGCTACGTCCCTGCCTGATGCCCTACTGCCTGGTTTTCTGGTGGCTCAGCTACCCAGTCCTGTGAGACTTTCCCCACATTCTCCAGGTTACAGCTTGACAGCCTTCAGCTTGTGACAGCTGTCTGGAATCTCAACCCTTCCCTGCACCCCTCTGGCCTTGTGCACAGGCAGTAGCTGTGCCCTTCAAAGCCACTGAACTTGGATGCTCTGTTCTCTGTTGCAGGTGGCACTCCTCCTCGCAATGCTGCTATGACATGCTGACTTCACACACCACAGCTAAGCCCTGATTACAGCTGTGTAAGTGGACTTGGCTGGGCCCTCTCCCTCAGTACTCTGCACAGGTGACCTGTCCACTCCTTGGCGACTCATTCTGCTACCTGATGCCTCTTGTCCTGATCTCTCCAGTGCTTGGCTCAAAGCCCAGAGTCAATTTCCATTCCTTTTGGTCGATCTTACCTGTCATCACAGCCTGACCAGGTATCAGGGTTTCTCTATGTAGCAGCTCTAACTGTCCTACAAGAACTAGCTCTTGTAGACCAGGCTGGCCTCTGCCTCCCAAGTGCTGGGACTGGGATTAAAGGTGTGTGCCACCACCACCTCTTTTTTTTAAAGACAGGGTTTCTCTGTGTAGCCCTGGCTGTCCTGGAACTCAGAGCTCTGCCTGCCTCTGGCTCCCTAGTGCTGGGATTACAGGCGTGCACCACCACTGCCCGGCTTTGATTTACCTTTTAAAATTCCATTTTAAGGTGTCTGTGGCAGTGGGCAGGGTGCACGTGTGGAGGTCAGAGGTCAGCTTGTGGGAGTCGTTCTCTCCTTCTAACATGCAGGTCTGGGCACCGGAACGCAGGCCCTCAGACTTTCAGCAGTATCTCTGCCAGGTAAGCCATCTTGCCAGCCCCACACTGACATCTTAGTGGTAGGTATTTTGCTGACCCTTGAGGTTCTGGACTTTCAATTTTAAGGCAGGTAAGAGTAGCCCTGTGATTCTCCCCAAGCCAGTCAATGCATTAGCTGCAGCTAGCTTGTGAGTTTTAGAAAAGGCCTGCCAGGTACTGACAAACTGTATTTAATTGCTTTCAAATGTCATGTGCCTAGGAACTCAGAAGAGCCAGAGGGACATAGGAGTCTAAACAGGGAGCATAAAAATTATCCCACAGCAGAGTATCTGCAGAATGCTCATGGCCCAGGATGTGTGGTAGGTACGGCGGAAGTCCAAGCAGCTCACAGGAGGCCGAGCCCTGCAGGGGATCAGGCAGGGGCGGGGACCACAGAAAAGGTTGCTCTTACCAATTGCATAAGGAGCTTGGTTCCAACAGAACTGGAAATCCGATGCCGAGGGTTGAAGCAAAAAAGAGCCACCATTAAAGGGGCAAACCTTCTTATAGATGCAACTGTCTGGAAAGAGAACAACAGCAACTTGTTTCTTAGAGGCGACACCTAGATCCCTGCAGTTAGAGAAACAGAAAGCAGGCTGCCGCTAGGGCTGCATCCTCCCGGCTGGTGCTCTCTGCCAGTTCATCTAAACAGCCACTGCCAACCTGGGGAGGCAGTGGCAGCAAGAGTCACACTGTTACCATGTACGCTAACAGCTGCCGCCTGGAGAAAATTTACTGCGTGTCAAGCATGGAGCTTTAAGAAGACTGTCCATTTAATTTGTCTGGCTGCAGAAGGTAGAAGCTGTCACCCTGCAAGCACACTCTGCAGAGAACTTGAGGTTGGAAGAGGTGAGGCGGTCCATCCTGAGTTCCGCAGCTCTACCGGGGCGGAGTGGTGGTGTGAGGCCAGGCTGGGCTACAGTGCTCATGTGCTTCCTGCCTATGCCATATCGTCATGCCAGAGGAAGACACAGAATGGGTAGCCCATGGGTGAACGAAGCCTTTCTACAAGGCAGGTTGCTCTGGAGCCTCACTCACCACAAGCATGGCAGGAACTGCATGTGTCCTCTGTGATGGCCGTTCTTGGTTGTCAGCTTGACTACATCTGGAATTAACTAAAACCCAAATGACTGGGCACACCTGTGAGGGACTTCTGCTTAATCATTTAAAGTGGGAAGATACGTCTCTAATTGGTTTTGAGGTGGGAAGACAAACCTCTAATCTGGGCCACACCTTCTGCTGGCAGCCTCTGTAAGGACATGGGAGAAAGAAGCTCTCTCTCTTTGCCTGTCGGTCCTCACTAGCAAGCCCATTCCTTTACTGGCATTAGAGCCTGCTTCTTTGAGATTCAAGCATATACTGAAGACCAGCTGAGACATCCAGTCTCAGGGACTGAACAACTACTGGATTCTTGGACCTTCCATTTATAGGCAGCCATTGTTAGATTAGCTGGACCACAGCCTTTGGCCAGTCTAATAAATTCCCTTTATATAGACACTAAATGATTATATATATACATATATATATATGTATATATATAATCATTTAGTGTCTATATACACACATATATATGTATATATATAAAATGTATGATATACATGTATAATACATAATAGATGTGTGTGTGTGTGTGTGTGTGTGTGTGAGAGAGAGAGAGAGAGAGAGAGAGAGAGAGAGAGAGATTCTCTAAGTTCTGTTACTCTGGGGCACCCTGACTAATATACCCTGCTAACATGTTGCTAGAGAACCTGGACCATGTGTGTTCCCCTTACTGAACTTCAGCTATGTTAAGGACAGTTTAATTCAGTTGCATGCCTCTTGTAGTAGTTCTGTGGTTCTGCCTCTTGTAGTTATTCTGACCTCTGAACATTAGTGTATGTGGCTCAGACCTTCAGAATAAGGAAACTTTTGTCGAATCAAAGTCCCCTTTCATTATAGAAGCTGTTTATACCTTCTCCCACCTTTTAAGACAATGAAGATAACAACTATGATTGTTATATATATATATGTTTAGACAGGGTCTTGTTGTGTATCCCAGCCTGGCCCGGACCGTATAAGCCTCTTGATTCACGCTGTTGAGTGCTGGTACTACAAGCCTGTGCTATCATATCTGTCTTGAAATTATTTTACTCATATGTGTCCCTCTTAGGGTCCCCCTTTTATCTAGCATCTCTGGGATTGTAGTTTAGTTATCCTTTGCTTTACATCTAATATCCACTTATGAGTGAAGACATACCGTGTTTGTCTTTCTGGGTCTGGGTTACCTCACTCAGGATGGATTTTATTTTATTTTATTTTATTTTTTACCACTGAGAGATATTCCATTGTGTAAATGTATCACATTTTCTTTATCCATTCTTTAGTTGATGGGCATCTAGGTTGTATCCTGGTTCTGCCTGTTACAAATAATGCCGTTATGAACATAGTTGAGCAAGTGTCCTTGTTGTATGATTGTTCATCCTCTGGGTATATGCCCAAGAGTGGCATTGTTGGGTCTTGAGGTAGACTGATTCCCCAGGAAGGAAAACAGTTAAGATCTCCAGGATAAAATGGGAGCGGGGAGGGGGGGAGGGTAGAAGGGAGGAGATGGGGATCTTGATCTTGAGGGATCAAGAAGACCGAGCTGGTGGAGGGGCAGAGGGGGAGGGCTAAGACCTCACCAACAGTGGAGAGGGTGTTTGAATGGGCCTTCCCCTGTAATCAGATGAGTGACTGTCCTAATTGTCATCACAGAACCTGCATCTGGTAATGATGGAAGCAGATGCAGTGACCACAGTCGAGCAGTTGGAGTTCAGTTGAAGAGGAGAGATCATATGAACAAAGGGGGGGGGTGTCAAGAGCATTATGGGGAAACCACAGAAATAGCTGACCCAAGTTAGTGGGAGCTCACATACTATGGACTGACAGCTGGGGGACCAGCATGGGACCATGGGACCCAACTAGACCTTCTGAATGTGGGTGACAGTTATGTGGCTTGATCTGTTGGGGGTGGTCCTGGCAGTGGCACCAGGACCTATCCCAGCTGCCTGAACTGACTTTTTGGAGCCCATTCCCTATGGAGGGATACATTGCTCCACCTAGATAAGGCAGGGAGGGGCTTGGTCCTACCTCAAGTTGGTATACCAGATCTTGTTGCCTCCCCAAGGAAGGCCTTACCCTCTCTGAGTGAATGGGGGAGGGGAAGGGGGAAGGGGGATGGGAAAAGAGCAGGGAGGGGGAACTGGGGTTGGTATTTAAAATGAAAAGTAAATTTTTTAAAACAAAAATATGAAAAGAATTTTACTCAAAATTTTCTTTATTTATTTTTATTTTATGTGTATTAGTGTTTTGTCTGCATGTATGTCTGTGTATCACATGTGTACCCAGTGCCTGTAGAAGCCAGAAGAGGTCACTAGATCTCCCTAAACTGCAGTTATTCTGGGCCACCATGTGGGTGCTGGGAACGGAATCTAGGTCCTCTACAAGAACCGTCTGTGCTCTTAATGACTGAACCATCTCTCCAGTCTTTTCAGATTGTCTGGGGGGTGGGGTAGGGAGGGCCAGTTCTTTCTCCATAGGTTTTCAAAATAAAATCACAGGCCTACATTCTTAAGATCCACTGTTTTGAGGACTTCTTAGGCTCAACCTTGTGGATGAATGTCCCTCTCGGGGAGAACTGCTGCCCTGCCTACTCTGGACATTCCTGTTAAATCCTGAATTTCGAAGATGACACCTTACAGACAAATTTTTATGTTGATAACTGGGTTTCCCATATTAAATATAAATTATTTATAGAAGTATATGATCTGATATATAAGCTATAACCAGAATTGTTACTCTAGAAATTGATGATTCTAGGTTGAAAAAAAAGTTTTTTTTTAAGTTAAACCTTACCCAGAAAATGATCTTATTTCCATTTGTTTAAAAAAAAACTTAAAAAATATTTACTTATTTTATGTATATGAGTGTTTTGCTGTGCATATGTCTGTCTACCACATGCAAGCCTGGTGCCCTCAGGTCAGAAGAGGGAGTTGTGTGCCCTGGAACTGGAGTCACAGATGGTTGTGGTTGACACGTGGGTGCTGGGAACTGAACCTGGATTTTCTGCACGTTTGACAAATACTGGTGATCCCTGAGCTATTAATTAATCCTGGAAATGCTAGAAGTCAGTATCTGGTATATTTGCTCTGCTCAAAACCCATCCTGATGGTGGACCCAAACTAACCTAATTGAGCTACATAAGCCCAATTTAGGCTAGATTCATTAAAAACAGGAAAAAAATCCCACAAAAAGTTATAGGTTAAAAGCCAGGCATCCTGGTCCACATCTTTAATCCCAGCACTTTGGAGGTAGACACAAAAGCAGAAGGATCTCTGAGTTCAAGGTCAGCCAGGTTGACAGAGTTCCCTTAAAAGGAAAGTTACAAGGTGAGCACTCTATTCCAAAAGAATCTGAAGTCTACACTGACCTAACATCTGAAACTTTCTAAGTGCTAACAGGTGGAAAGTCCCAAACCTTACCTCATCTGATGGGCCACAGCCCAAATTCAGACACTCTTTCTGGGTGTTCTGAAGCACGTCTTTGATCCAGCAAACGGGAGGCAGAGGCAGGTAGATATTTGTGAGTTTGAGGCCAGCCTGGTCTACATATTGAGTTCCAGGACAGTTAGAACTATGTGAGAATCCATCTCAAAACAAAAATAAAAAAATAAAGCAAAATAAAAAATTAAGATACACTAAAAAATAACAACAAACTCAAGAAATTACTTTCTGGCCTAGGGTTGGTGTCTATGAAATGTAATGAATTTTGTGTTTATACATTCCCAGGATAGCTAGTTATACATGTGGAGCTAACCCAGAGTCTGAAAGTCAGGGATCTGGAACACTCTAGCTGTAAGCACTTCAGGTGAGGGACATTCACCCTGTAGTAACCAAAGATAAAGTCTGGTACTGGGGTCAAGAGGGTCGGATGCAAACCCCGGCCCTGATGCTGAGCAGCTACACAACCCAGAGGAGCCTCTTCTGGCTTAGTTCCACTTGCAGGAGAGAAGCTGAGCCTGTTGTGGGCCATTGTAGGTGAAAATCTGAGTGACACAGGGGTACCTGGCACATAGTAAGGGCCTGCTAGCTGGAGGCCACCATCCTCATCCCGTGCCCTGGAAGCAGGGCGTGGTGGCAGCTCTGGTAAGCATGTCACTGAGAGGTCTGGGCACAGTCTGCGGTGCAGGTTGGAATGTGGATTTTAGATGATCCCTGATGTACCCAGCAAGAGTTCATCAAGTCATCTAGGGGGAGATCCCATTCCGCCACACTGAAAAATGGGCTGTTTGCGCATGAGGAGACATCTCGCTGACTTACAGTTGTAGCACAGGAGCAGGCCGGCTTCTCCATCTTCATACACGTCAATAGCCGCCACAAAGTTAACCTGCAATGATAAGAGGCAGCGGTCACAGTGGTGCAGCGGTAGCAGTGGTGGGACGCGGACACTCAGAGGAACCTCCCTGAGCTAGGAGTGTCTCCGCAGTGGCCCTCGGTTCTCGGAAACCAGGGTGCTGCATGGCTCCCATACTACACCTCGTAACCCGCTGGGCCAGGGTTACAAGGTACTGAGGTGGGAGAGAAATGTCTTTGCTTCCTTTCTCTTCTGGGTGGGACTTTCTCACCCACTGTCTACCCTTCTGAAAGGTCTGAATCCAGCTGTGCTCCCAAGCACTCTTATTTACCCAGAATGCTCACGGGGTGCCACACTGACTCAAGCAGGTAAGCACTGTATCTGTCTGACACCAGAGGAAAGGACGTCTCTGAGGAGACTGAGTGAGGTTTCTCCTGCCTCCAGCACGTGGGGTCTCTGGGCTCTTAGGTCACCCAGTATGTCTCCATCTCCACTTGTCTTTCCTATGAAGGCAGAATTAGGCCGTGGAGCAGGTCTGCGGCACACCTGGCTCTGGGCCACTATGGTCCAGATTTGAGACAGGGTGCTCAGCCTGCACTGTAGCCATCCCTTGTCCTCCTGGGGTCCAGACACTCTGCCCTTTGATGGCAGCTTCATGTGCTCCAGGCTAAGGTGCACACCATATGATACAGATGCACAGCATGCAATTTTATTATTATTACTTTGAGACAAGGTCTCATGTGGCCCAGGTTGGCCTCAAACTACTATGTAGCCCAGGCTAACTTTGAACTCATGATCCTCCTGCCTCAGCTTCACGAGGTTAAGTAAGAACTGTAGGCATGAACTTCCACATCTCACTAGAGGATGTAATTTTAAAGAAGCCACATCAGAGTGTCTGGAATGAGAAGATAAAGCCCCCTGCTTTCTCAAATTAGCAATCAGTTCCTACAACTGCCAGCGCACCTTGTTGGCCTCCACATGGTGCAGCCTGAAGGCTTCTCCTGTGCTCTCGTTTACCACATCGAACTGGTGGCGATATGCCACACAGATGAGGTTGTCACTCTCTTCCGTGGGCCCATCCACTAAGGTCATCACAGCTGGGGAGTCACACAGACAGATTTCCTGTGTGGGCGAGGACGA